TAAAAGGAAGTTTATGTTTCTTAGAGGAAAACAAATATATTTTCAAAATAGAAAGATTGAAGATGTTGAAACAGAAAATTAGAAGATGCAAGGTGTAACAAATTTTGCTAAAGTATCTATAAAATCGTATTGGTGGGCTATATCAACTTAATTTTTTGACTTAAAATGATGAACAAATTTTCAACCTTTCATTTGCTTCAATCTAACAATTGTGAATGGGTAGTTATAAATAGTTATTTTATTTACAAATTCATCACCTTTTAAAATGTTGGATTATGATTTATGAATGGTTACTAATTAATAGTCTAAGTTTTCTATTTATTCACATCAAACCATAACACAGATTTTGTAGAAGGGCCAAGAGTACAGTGCGAGTAAAAAGAAATTCTGAAAATCAATAAAATATAATATATGACGAAAAGTGAAAATTCTATAACTTAGATTACCTGCCATCTTTTGGAATAGTCTCTAAGCTTCTTCTTCTTTTAAAGTATCCATATAGAAATTTTTGGTAGAACCCATCGTATCCAAAACATCACTGTCTCTTGTTGTGAGCAATAGTTTACATCCACCACGATGATCTTTGGAAGGAATTCCCACAGTCTTTAAATCAAGATCTTTCCGGATATTATCTAGAATCAAAAGAATCTTCATATGCCTCTTATCCTTCTCATCATTCTCATTATTCTTACTCATCTTCAATCTTGCATATAACTTATTTGCTTTATCTACTACATCACTCTCCTTATCCAGTTTGAGACCTAATTTTTTAGCAACTTTTAGTTGAATGGTCTCTATTTTTGGAGTTTCTGTTACTTCTATGAAAACTACGTCATCAAAGAGCTGTTCTTCCATGGCTTGCCTCCCAACTTCCTGCACAAGAGTGGTCTTCCCAAGACCACCCATCCCATAAACACCCATCATGTAGATACTCTCATCCTTCAATGCAGCAAATACCTCCTCCACAGTGGATTTTCTTGATCCGAAAGCCAAATAACCTCCCTTAGATCTAAGCCGGATCTGTGGTGGATTAGTAGGATGGGCAACTTCATTGAATTCCTTTTCTTGCTGCAAGAGTGGACCAATATCATCCCTCTTTAATCCGAGTGCTTTCCTACTGAGTTTGTAGCGGGTGATCAAGTTGGGGCACAATCCCTTGAAACATCTTGGGTTGTTTTCTTTTGCTTGAATCAACTTCTCTGCTTCGGTAATGGTCTTCTCGACATCCGTCTGCCAGTCCTTAACATTCTGGTTGATCTCTTCCAAGTTTCTTTCAGCAGCAGTAACCTTAACCTGCACTTCGCCTCTTGTATTCTTCAGCTTCGTAACTTCCCTTTCGAGATTTTTGAAATTGGTATTGTAGTTGTACAAGTACTTAAATTGACGCCCAATCGGAGTAGCCAAGCAGTTGACAACATCCAGAACAATACTCACGATTTCAACCATTTTCAACACTTTTTCCGCACACATTTTTTTTTTTTTTTTTTTTTTTTTTAACAGAGTTAAAACAGGACAACCAGGGTGCAAACTTTCAAATTTGAAAAACACACAAAAAAAAAAAAAGAAGTTAAGAAAAATACAGAAATAACAGCAAGACAACAATGATGCAAACTCAAACAAAAGAAGAGGAGTGAGACTGAGGACAAACACTGAAAGAAGATTTTTTTTTTTTTTTTACAGAGTAAACCAGAAATATGAGAACGCGAGAGCAGAGAAAAAATGAAGGGACTGATTGTGTATTGAAAGTATTTGAAGTGGTGAGAGACGAAAAATAACCCAAGCGTTTGTTGATGCAAAGAGTATAATAAGAGATGACTTTGGAGGAGATCAAAATTATACAAATATTTAATTCCTCTGAAGAATTAAGATGAAAACCTTATAATATTTTGGTGGGTGATGTATTTATTCTTCATATTTTGAGCATAATCCAACAATGCCTCCATATGAAATATGAAACAAACGGTTCATACTATTTCCAATCTTATTCTCAAAAAATTGTTTGTTTCATTATCCTCAATACTATATTTTCTTCAACTATTTTTAAATCCCTTAAGTTTATTAATTTAACTAAACACCTCAGAAAAAAGTTTAAAAATTAACAAAAATACCCCCATCCCACTCATATTTATCAGATTCCGACACCACTACCGAAAGGTGCCGGAATCTGGCATAATAGTACACTATTAGCTGGATCTAGCCGGTAGTGTGCCGATCTATCAGTTTTTGATCAGATCCACCAAAATCTGGTCGTCTTTGGTAACCAAAAATGGCTTAGATCTGGCGCCATATCAGCACGCGAATGGTCAGATATGACCGTCGTGCATCATAACGCCAGATTCCGATAGTGGTGGTCAGAATCTGACAACTGTAAGTAGGGTGTTTTTATTATTTACAATATTTTTATATATGTGTGGTTTAGTAAATTAACAAACTTAAAGGAGTATTTTTGTTTATTTTAAATTTTATCTCATTATTCTCAACCAACTCTAAAATATCAAAAAAATTATTCAAAATAATGAAACAAACGGAGAGAAACAAATAAACCGGCTGTAAACTTATATTATTCACTCTAAACAATATTATTTCAGCAGCCCATGATTAATTATTTAGTCACACACAAAAAAACAATGATAAAAGACATCGAAATCAACATCGCGATCAACAATTTATTTATAATCAAATATCAATTAATTCTAAAAAAATATATTTCAACAGCTCGTGATTTATTGTTTGTGTGGCTTATTTAAATTTCTATAGTAATCATGAGATCAACCTAAACAATAAATGTCACCGAAACAACAAGTCACAACATTATAATAAATAAAAAATATATATATAATATTATAATAAGTGTAGATTATTATATATCATCAGAATCTTCATGACCAAGAATCTCGTGCGCCACCTGCTGGTTAACTTTCCGGCGGCCTTTGATTCAAATAATGTTAGATTATTAGAAATATTAAATTACTGGAATATTATATTATCTTCAAAATTATTAGAAATCTTAAAAAAAATGTGTTTGGTTAGTTGATAGGTATGTATATTAATATGTTTAGTTAGGAGAATAAATTAGTGGGTATGTTATTTAAATTACTAAATTGTTTTCTTTTTTAATATTAATATAATAATTTTTATTATTAATTTTTGAATAATTTTTTTAAACCAATATTTCAGATGGCTAAAACGTCATCGCTTATATCAAAACTTTAATTTATGAAAAATCACACCTACCCTCTGCCGCCACCGCAAACCACTGCGGAAAGTCTCTGAAAATCATCGTGAGTAGCTCACCGTGACCACGAGGCTCCGATAGACTGTTATGGCCATATTGATGGTCGAAAACGGCCATATCAGGCTAAATCAGCTCCCAATAATCGGGGCCTCCGATCACGATGGGCTGCTCACGATGACTAGGTGACTTCGGCAACTTCCCGCGACGGCGGCGCGTGGTTTGGCTGGCGGCAGTGACAGCAAGTGGCTGGGGGTGGTGGCTGGGATGTTGTAATTGTTTTGATTTCAAGAGTAATTTTATCAAAAAATTAATTAAAGGGGTGATATGGTAAAGCAGATTCATGTAAATAAATTCAAAAATAAGGGCATATTATTCTAAAATTTTATTAATAAGGGATAAAATTGTTAAAAAAAAAAAAAAATTACCCAAGTAGTTACAATACCAAAGAAAATAGAAGTAATCAGATTACCTCTAATATACTAATATAGCCACTATTGGTATTTGAAGATTACCGAAATCTTATATTACTTGACAAACCAACATGGTAATCAGTAATAAAAATGACTTAACCTCAGTAGTCTCACATAACCCCCAACCAAACGCCCCTCGGTTTTTTTTTTTTTTTTTTAATAATTTGTTGATCATTTTGGTACAAGTGAAAAAGCGCATATCTTCATTGCCACTGGTTGTAAAAAGTATGCAAAGATCAACGAAACTGATTGGAGTGATTCAACAACTGGTGGGTGTCTAACTATTTGTGCTTGTCATCCTTAAAAAAAAGAAGGTTGCTATGATTTCATATGCCCCATTCCTACGTTTGATTATGAAATCGTATCAAAGCTTCATTTAAAGATGTTCCAGGAATGCAAATCTGCTTCAATGTTGACCAAAATTGGGTCATGACATATTACATAAACGATCCCTCTGTTTTAAGGACAAATGAATATGGACGGCCACTCCTGCAGTATCTGGAATAGGGAACATGGGAATGCATTCAAAAGTCACCTACATTTTGCAGAAACAAGGGAATCCCATTCCCTTGTCAAATTCGCCAAGTAAAAAGGGGCCAAGTTCTTGCAAATGGAGTAGCAAAAGCACAGTAGGGCTATAAACAAAAGTGGAGAAGTAAACGCATGTGAATCCTCTGAAATCAAATACGGTCGAAGAAAGTATCAAAAATCCCTAATAAGAAATGCTTAATACTTATCAACAACAGTGAATGTTTTTCGTATTAATCGATTTCACACAAGAGTAAATGAAATATACATACGCAGAAACCATACTACGCAATAAAAATTTAAGTAGTTGTAAATTTTACAAAGATAATTACAGGAATTTGAAGTATAGGTAATTGAATTAATGTGATGATAGTAATTAGAACTGCTTTTGCTTTGAATGAATAAGTTACATATATTTGATTTATGCATTAATTCTAATGAAAACAAAAAAAACTACCTATATTAACAAGAAATGGTAATTGTATAAATAATGAGATGCATAAATGAATGGAAAGTCCAAACTAACGACTGCTTTTTTCTTTTCTTTGCCAAAATCATTGACATGTATAGAGTTTTGCTACATTAAATGGTTGTATTAATACATTAACATAAAACTTGTTTAAAATTGTAGCATGAAACTTGCAAGTTAAAAAAGTTAAACGGGTAAACTGCACTTGTACAGTGCTCATAGTATAGCTAAAGCCGTTTGAAAGAGTAATAATACTGAGAAAATACAGGGCATGCATTGAAGCCAAATTTTAGAGTATTCAAAGTGAAATTAGGAAATTATCTATTATTTAAAAACAGCCATGGGAGTGACCTTTCTTCATATGTTAGCAGAACATTAAACGAAAAAAGACTTTATCAACTCAGGCAGGCAGCTTCAGGTTCTCGCGGTTCTTCCAGCTGCGTAAAAAGCAAGCAAACTATGTTAGCAAGACTCAAAATACAGAAGCAATTGATCACTTCTTAATGAAGCCAATAACCAATCACTTCCTATTCAATCTAATTTTTTTTCTTCTTTCCAGGAAATGAATTGATTGCTTCCTATTAGGACAAGCAAGCCTGGAATATAAATGAAAAAAAGGAACATGGAAATGTACCTTTTAAAATAGTAGTAGAAAAAGTCAGCATAGAGGGCAGTCTGAATCAGGCCTGAAACCCAAGCTGTTTTCAGCATTTTGACAAACATGCTAGTTAGTAATGATCTCCACAAGCAGAAGCACAAGTTGACGAGATAAACAGCAGAGAAAAACTTACGTATCCATCTGATTTTGTTCTCCGTGAAGAAACGATAAACCCAGTTGAGGATATATAAAGCTCGGTAAGCACTATATAGGAAATAAAACAAAAAAATATGTATCACCAGTCATCACCAGTAATCTAATCGAAGGAAACCCAGAGGGAGCAGACGAAATATGATGGAATTCAGTAAAAAGTAGAACAAAATTCTTCCAAATGTAAAACTAATTTACCCAGAAAAAAGAGGGAAAAGATGCTGCTAAACCCACTTATTTCAAACTTCTCCATAAACTTAATTTGTTAGGGATATGATATGGTAGGGCGTATGTTGATTGAGACAGTCCCCTAAAAACTTCTCCATGATATCCTTCTCAAAGAACACAGGAGGGCCAGCCAGAATTATTTAAGTAATCAAAAGCCCAATAATGTCCCTTTGGAATGGATCTCAATGATGGTTTGACTCACCTGCAACCTCTCTTTTTCTACTTTTTTTTAACTGCCTATCTAACCTTTTTCTTGTACAAAACTAGCCGCATATTTCATTGCCACTGGTTGTAAAAGTATGCAAGATCAACGAAACTGATTGGAGTGATTCAACAACTGGTGGGTGTCTACTATTTGTGCTTGTCATCCTAAACAGCAAGACAACAATGATGCAAACTCAAACAAAAGAAGAGGAGTGAGACTGAGGACAAACACTGAAAGAAGATTTTTTTTTTTTTTTTACAGAGTAAACCAGAAATATGAGAACGCGAGAGCAGAGAAAAAATGAAGGGATCTGATTTGTGTCTTGAAAGTATTTGAAGTGGTGAGAGACTGAAAAATAACCCAAGCGTTTGTTGATGCAAAGAGTATAATAAGAGATGACTTTGGAGGAGATAAAATTATAACAAATATTCCTTAATTCACTCTGAAGAATTAAGATGAAAACCTTATAATATTTTGGTGGGTAGATGTATTTTTATTCTTCATATTTTGAGCATAATCCAACAATGCATCCATATGAAATATTGAAACAAACGGTTCATATACTATTTCCAATCTTATTCTCAAAATAATTGTTTGTTTCATTATCCTCTAAATACTATTATATTTTCTTCAACTATTTTTAAATCCCTTAAGTTTATTAATTTAACTAAACACCCTCAGAAAAAAGTTTAAAAATTAACAAAAATACCCCCATCCACTCATATTTATCAGATTCCGACCACCACTACCGAAAGGTGACCGGAATCTGGCATAATAGTACACTATTAGCTGGATCTAGCCGGTAGTGTGCCGATCTATCATGTTTTGATCAGATCCACCATAAATCTGGTCGTCTTTGGTCAACCAAAAATGGCCTTAGATCTGGCGCCATATCAGCACGCGAATGGTCAGATATGACCGATCGTGCATCATAACGCCAGATTCCGATAGTGGTGGTCAGAATCTGACAACTGTAAGTAGGGGTGTTTTTATTATTTTACAATATTTTTATATATTGTGGTGTTTAGTAAATTAACAAACTTAAAGGAGTATTTTTGTTTATTTTTAAATTTTATCTCATTATTCTCAACCAACTCTAAAAATATCAAAAAAAATTATTCAAAATAATGAAACAAACGGAGAGTAAACAAATAAACCGGCTGTAAACTTATATTATTCACTCTAAACAAATATTATTTCAGCAGCCCATGATTAATTATTTAGTCACACACAAAATAAAACAATGATAAAAGACATCGAAATCAACATCGCGATCAACAATTTATTTTATAATCAAATATCAATTAATTCTAAAAAAATATTATTTCAACAGCTCGTGATTTATTGTTTGTTTGTGGCTTATTTATAATTTCTATAGTAATCATGAGATCAACCTAAACAATAAAATGTCACATCGAAACAAACAAGTCACAACATTATAATAAATAAATACATATATATATAATATTATAATAATGTTAGATTATTATATATCATCAGAATCTTCATGACCAAGAATCTCGTGCGCCACCTGCTGGTTAACTTTCCGGCGGCCTTTGATTCAAATAATGTTAGATTATTAGAAATATTAAATTACTGGAATATTATATTATCTTCAAAATTATTAGAAATCTTAAAAAAAATGTGTTTGGTTAGTTGATAGGTATGTTATATTAATATGTTTAGTTAGGAGAAATAAATTAGTGGGTATGTTATTTAAATTACTAAATTGTTTTCTTTTTTAATATTAATATAATATTATTTTTATTATTAATTTTTGAATAATTTTTTTAACCCCAATATTTCAGATTTGGCTAAAACGTCATCGCTTATATAAAACTTTAATTTATGAAAAAATCACACCTACCCTCTGCCGCCACCGCAAACCACTGCGGAAAGTCTCTGAAAATCATCGTGAGTAGCTCACCGTGACCACGAGGCTCCGATATGACTGTTTATGGCCATATTGATGGTCGAAAACGGCCATATCAGGCTAAATCAGCTCCCAATATATCGGGGCCTCCCGATCACGATGGGCTGCTCACGATGACTCCAGGTGACTTCCGGCAACTTCCCGCGACGGCCGGCGGTGGTTTGGCTGGCGGCAGGTGACAGCAAGTGGCTGGGGGTGGTGGCTTGGGTATGTTGAAATTTGTTTTGATTTCAAGAGTAATTTTATCCAAAAAATTAATTAAATGGGGTGATATGGTAAAGCAAGATTCATGTAAATAAATTCAAAAATAAGGGCATTATTATTCTAAAATTTTATTAATAAGGGATAAAATTGTTAAAAAAAAAAAAAAATTACCCAAGTAGTCTTACAATACCAAAGAAAATAGAAGTAATCAGATTACCTCTAATATTACTAATAATAGCCACTATTGGTATTTGAAGATTACCGAAATCTTATATTACTTGACAAACCAAACATGGTAATCAAGTAATATAAAATGACTTAACCTCAGTAGTCTCACATAACCCCCAACCAAACGCCCCTCGGTTTTTTTTTTTTTTTTTTAATTAATTTATGTTGATCATTTTGGTACAAGTGAAATAAGCGCAATATCTTCATTGCCACTGGTTGTAAAAAGTATGCAAAGATCAACGAAACTGATTGGAGTGATTCAACAACTGGTGGGTGTCTAACTATTTGTGCTTGTCATCCTAAAAAAAAGAAGGTTGCTATGATTTCATATGCCCCATTCCTACGTTTGATTATGAAATCGTATCAAAGCTTCATTTAAAGATGTTCCAGGAATGCAAATCTGCTTCAATGTTGACCAAAATTGGGTCATGACATATTACATAAACGATCCCTCTGTTTTAAGGACAAATGAATATGGACGGCCACTCCTGCAGTATCTGGAATAGGGAACATGGGAATGCATTCAAAAGTCACCTACATTTTGCAGAAACAAGGGAATCCCATTCCCTTGTCAAATTCGCCAAGTAAAAAGGGGCCAAGTCCTTGCAAATGGAGTAGCAAAAGCACAGTAGGGCTATAAACAAAAGTGGAGAAGTAAACGCATGTGAATCCTCTGAAATCAAATACGGTCGAAGAAAGTATCAAAAATCCCTAATAAGAAATGCTTAATACTTATCAACAACAGTGAATGTTTTTCGTATTAATCGATTTCACACAAGAGTAAATGAAATATACATACGCAGAAACCATACTACGCAATAAAAATTTAAGTAGTTGTAAATTTTACAAAGATAATTACAGGAATTTGAAGTATAGGTAATTGAATTAATGTGATGAAAGTAATTAGAACTGTTTTTGTTTTGAATGAATAAGTTACATATATTTGATTTATGCATTAATTCTAATGAAAACAAAAAAAACTACCTATATTAACAAGAAATGGTAATTGTATAAATAATGAGATGCATAAATGAATGGAAAGTCCAAACTAACGACTGCTTTTTTCTTTTCTTTGCCAAAATCATTGACATGTATGGAGTTTTGCTACAGTAAATGGTCGTATTAATACATTAACATAAAACTTGTTTAAAATTGTAGCATGAAACTTGCAAGTTAAAAACGTTAACGTGTAAACTGCACTTGTACAGTGCTCATAGTATAGCTAAAGCCGTATGAAAGAGTAATAATACTGAGAAAATACAGGGCATGCATTGAAGCCAAATTTTAGAGTATTCAAAGTGAAATTAGGAAATTATCTATTATTTAAAAACAGCCATGGGAATGACCTTTCTTCATATGTTAGCAGAACATTAAACGAAAAAAGACTTTATCAACTCAGGCAGGCAGCTTAAGGTTCTCGCGGTTCTTCCAGCTGCGTAAAAAGCAAGCAAATTATGTTAGCAAGACTCAAAATACAGAAGCAATTGATCACTTCTTAATGAAGCCAATAACCAATCACTTCCTATTCAATCTAATTTTTTTTCTTCTTTCCAGGAAATGAATTGATTGCTTCCTATTAGGACAAGCAAGCCTGGAATATAAATGAAAAAAAGGGACATGGAAATGTACCTTTTAAAATAGTAGTAGAAAAAGTCAGCATAGAGGGCAGTCTGAATCAGGCCTGAAACCCAAGCTATTTTCAGCATTTTGACAAACATGCTAGTTAGTAATGATCTCCACAAGCAGAAGCACAAGTTGATGAGATAAACAGCAGAAAAAAACTTACGTATCCATCTGATTTTGTTCTCCGTGAAGAAACGATAAACCCAGTTGAGGATATATAGAGCTCGGTAAGCACTATATAGGAAATAAAACAAAAATATATATATCACCAGTCACCACCAGTAATCTAATCGAAGGAAACCCAGAGGGAGCAGACGAAATATGATGGAATTCAGTAAAAAGTAGAACAAAATTCTTCCAAATGTAAAACTAATTTACCCAGAAAAAAGAGGGAAAAGATGGCAATGATAAACATCATAGGCTAAAAAAGTCTTGAAGATTGCCATGCAGACATTCATGTATACTGTGTAAATAATGTAAGACTGAGCTTTGTACGAAACAAATGGTACAATTTAATCCATAACACTTTGATGAATCAAGTTGTTTAAAAATGAATATCAGAATGTGGAGAGTTGCAAAATATACACAACCGGATCTAACCCAACACATCTTTGAGAAAAGGCCTAATTTAGCACCAGCACTAACACTAATTCTAAACCAGTGACAACAAACGTTGCTGCAACCAATACATAAAATGAAACAATTAATTAACGATAGAACCATCATCATTTCAATTCATTGAGGAACTAATTCCTTAACCTCCGGTCTCAGCCTTCTGCTCTAAAACATTCTGCCAATAAATACTCAACTATAAACTTGAAATCTATGAACTTCTTTTTCCAACCTTAATTTCTCTTTTAATAATTATAGAAACCCAATTATTACTCTTACTGTATTAACATGAATTATTGCTGCAGAAAAAGGAGCAATCAAGAGTAAACTGGTTTATGCCAGTACCCTGCCACGGACCCATTCACTTTCTTGTGGTATGAATGGTTACGACCAATCTAGGTCAGCCATTTTGGGATCCTCTTCCCGCAATGCTGATATGAATATAATTTTTTGTCAACATAACATGTTTTGAGAACAACAGAAAGCACTTTAGTATCACAACTGTAATAACAACCAGAACCACTTCTCATACCACAAGAAAGTGCAAAAGGAATACGGAATATATTGACCAACTTTACTACATTGTACAATAGTAATAGATTGTTTCTATATTACATTTTTATTAGAAGTGGTTTCAAATAATTCAGGCAGTAAAAACATTTTTGGGTTATTCCAGCCCAGCACAACTCATTTTCACATACCATATCAATCTTTTGGATACAGAGACAAAGCTAAGGTTCTATGGAAATCTTTTGTTTTGGATTTTTTAGGAAAATCTGGGAATTAGTAATAGAAGATTTTGGTGTCGGTCACAAAAGAATTTCAAGACACTTACTTTCCAGCGCTTAAAATTGGAATAACACTATAGATTTTGGATGGCTTTGATACTTACAGAGTAGCCTGTGAAGGCATTTGATTTGATTGATTAGTTCTGGAACTGCGGCCAAGTTGAAACCAGTTTCTGTTAAGGATTTGTTATACCTCAAAACAGCTACATCACAGAAACATTCATCTACATACAGTTTTGAGGACTGCAACAGTTATTGGAGCAAATGGCACAATATGATCGATAGGATGAAAGAAACTAAGCTGTTTTGGGAACATAAAATGGCTTACCCAAGAAGGAAAACATAGTTTCCAGTTAAGTTGTCAATATTGCTTGACCTTTGCAGCAACACCAGTTGAGGCAAGATTGCCACAGCTTCAAGATAGATTGAGAAACTCCACAAAATCTGTCAAAACAGGGTGAGTCTTCCATCAGAAATCAAATCCTTTTTCCAAGTAAAAAGGTAATTTACTATGAAACCATAGTTGAATCTTACTTTCAAGCAAAGGAATAGATTCATACAAAAACCCAATTTAAAGGATTATATAGCTATCAAATAAATAGTTGACAAGAATATGACTAAGAGACAAATTTTACCGGAAATGGAAAATTAATAATTATTTACATTATTAAGACCTCTTTTCTAAGCAAACTGAACAACAAGAACAGTAGCAAAACCTGACTGTCCTACTAAAAGTTATTAAGCAACAAAAACTTGCCTAGAATAGCAAAAATGCGATTTCAGGTTTAAACAGTAGAAATTAAATGAAACATAACAAACTTCACATCAAATCTAAGATTTTTTATCTTCCCATCGAAATGAATCCAATGATATCATACATGCTCATATTTAGTCAAGTGACGACCCTTTGCAACAAAAGTACGTCAATTACTGTATTGTGATGACTCTACGCTATTTTACAAATTCCCAGATTATATAAAGGACCAAAAGTACAAGAACATTACTACACGGTAGATACCACCACATGAATCAGTGGGATTCATGATATATAGTCGTGTCATTCTGATAGATAAAGAAATCATTACAAGTGCTGAGGCAGTTATGCAAATTCTAGATATTGTATCATGAAGAATACACCAAGAGCAGCAAAAGAAACCAGTTGTAACCATGCTGGATAAACAACTATGGCACCTCACATGTAGCTAATTATTTGACAGCTTTATCATGCCAACCACTGACCATGAAGACAATAAATTGCTTAAGTTTCAGCGAAAAAGATAAATCAATCGTTTAGCCAACTTGTGAAGTCTACATATAGTTTAGTGCATCCTTCATTTGTAACAATTCTAATATCTAGGATGAGAGAAAGCTAATACACGAAAACTCCTAATCCATGATTAGATAAAACTCATTTACTAGAGCTCATTCAGAAACGAGATAATAAGCTCCTTCATTGTAAAGGAGATAATAAGTGCCTTCATAACTAGAGGAGATGACAAGCTCCTTGTTGTATTAATAGAAGACTAAGAAAAAGCTCCTATACTATAGCTCCTCTGTACTTTACCTGTTCAAAAAGAACAATAAATTTTTTCTATTTTCTATTCTATAAATCAACAATTGGTATTCGAGCTATAAAAGCAACATGGAGAATATATAATATTTTAAAAAATTATAAATCAGCTAAAGGACAGAACAGGTGAAAATCATCATCAATCTTTACTTGAAGATCCATTGCTATAGAGGGACGAACCAGCTTTCACATTAAGTCTTTTTATGGTGACTATTATATTAGTATTCTATATGTTTGTAGTAATATCCATATGTAGCAAATATGCAAGTTAGTCACTGAAATTGAAGTTTCCAAAGGGGACTCAAAAACATTCTAGTCACTTAAAAATGAAATATCCAGTATAAAATTTCAAATATGGCATAAAATGTGAAAGGTCAAGCATATGTGATAAAGTGAATCAGACTAGTGAATTACAACGGTATCGACTACAGAAAAATACAAATGCTTTACCATGGTCCAACCATGGATTCAATTTCAACAATAAGTTGTAGCATTTGTCAATTAGAATTGTTTCACTTTTTCATAGTTTAAATAGGTCATTTTCTTTAGCCAAAAGTACATTGAATGGGAAACAAATGAAGAAGAAGACAAGAAAATTTCGTACCTCAATAGTATTATACTCATGGGGAATCAACAAAGCCAAAACCAAACATGGGAGAATCAGGAAATAATGTCTAAAGGTGTCTTCATCCTTGTTATATGTTTGCTTCACAACTTTATGGTACCGCATATACCAAACAATAGCGATTGAAGTTCCAAGAAAGACTAGCTTCATTACAGAGTTGTAGAATGAGACGTACCTCGTGAACAGATCAAGGTAACGAGTGACAAAAATTATCACATAGAGTTCTTGAGTTTTAAGTGAAATTCCTAGAGCAAATAAAAGATATGTTAAGCACACAAGTAAGGAACCTCAGAGAAAAAAATATAGCACAGATATTTTCAAAATCTATGAATTTATTAAAAAAAAAAAAAACAGTGCATCATTTCATTGAAGATTACAAGAAAATTAATAGGAGATCTAATTTTATGGATCTGGATCTTACGCAAAAATGAAAGAATATACAAATTTTCAAGAAGCATCAAAGAAACAATAACAAAATCTTAGACATCCAGAAACCTATCCCCTCTTAAGTCTACAAAATAACTAAATTATAAGTCAATCAAAATTCTAGCTTTCTGATATAAAAGCAACTCAAAATTTAATGGAGCATCAGTAAATAATGCACGCATTAATTTTCCACTGAATACATATCTCCTAAAACTATAAAAGATGGCAACATTGATAAACATTGAATTTAGAGAACATGTTAAGCTAAAACCTATGTTCCCAGTCCGAAGCTAACAAAGTCCTCAAGCACTACTGCTTGAACAATTTCCAAGAAAATAAAAAAGACAAAAAGTGGAACATGGATTATTTGAGGTGACAAGATTTTAGTTGCAGGTTGAACATTACAAATTATCCAAGAACCCTATGATAACGAAATTACTTCAAATAAATATAAGCAAAAATACAAATAATATAATAAACAGAACCAAAATAAGAATAGCTTTGAAAATGAGAACCGATTTTATGGTTGAAATGCTACAATGTACAAGACCAGCAACCTTCAATCAAGCGTTAATTCTACAAACAACAAAAGCTTTTATGAACAGGTCCTTATAGATTTTGGAAACTAAAGTTTTATAGTTAATTCTTCTAACTACATAGAGTGAACAAACAAGCTCTTAAATCAGGTAGGCTGAAGAACTCAAAATGTAAACTAAAAGCCTCTTAAACTCTAGTATAGAAACAAAAATTTAGCAGAAATTACATATTAAGGACAATTAAAAATTAGAATAAAAAATTACTGATGAAGAAAAGTTCCAAACATAAAAATTACACACTCTCCTGTCAAGTACATATTCTTATCAAACAATGAAAAAGTTGAGAAATGAAGCTAAAAAACGCTCTCCAGAACCTGGTATTTACATCTTTAAAATGGTAAACTAAAAAAAAAAAAAAAACTCATGGAAATTCAACCAAACACCCACATTCAACTCTTCAACAAACCAATAAATTCATTAAACGCCAAGCAAAAACAGCAAATGGGCATCTAAAAATGGGGTCAAATAGTCCAACCGAGAACAGCGCAAAAAAGGAATCAAAACCCAAACCAAACAAACAAAGGCAGAAAGCAAAATAAAACCTGCACAGGATTTCATTGTACGAATTTTGAGGAGAAGGACCACTATGCTGAGGAGGTGGGTCATGTCGCCAGCCAATCTAAACGGATTCATGATTGATTTGGGGTGCTTTTGCTCACTCTTTTTGTTTGATTTTTATTTGGTTTTGTTTTGGATTCTTCGTTTTGCTTTTTCTTCTTGTTTTGGTTTCGGTTTTGCAGAACAAAGTGCTTCATTGGGGGTCATGCTTTTTGAACGGGGTTTAAGGTTGACAAAAACGGTTATTTACGCGCCTTTGAGGTGCGTGGCCGTCGACTCCACTCTGGACTTTGTTTCAAGACTTGACTTTAAAAGTAGAACAAATATTTTTAAGAGTTACAATGACAAAAATGTCCTCAAGTTGGATTTTGTTTGAAGACATGACTTTAAAAGTAGGCTAGAATAAATAATATTAATATATATTTTTTTTTTACAGTAAATGACAGAATTCTCCTCCAGTTTTCGAAATTATTATAAATCATTCTTGCTTTAAGTCTTAAGTAACAAGATAAATGGTTTGAGGGTAATTACGTAAATATATTTTGACTTACAGTAGTATAATTCTTAGCAGCAGAATAACAGTTATTAATAACAAGTTATCTTGATATTTAGAGTTGGGGAAGAATAACAAAGTAGAATTTAAAAATTAACAAAAAATCTCTTTAGGTTTGCTAATTTACTAAACACTCTAATATATAAAAATTTTATAAAATAATAAAAACACCCCCACCCACAATTGTCAGATTCCGGTCACTACTGCCAAAATTTGACGTTACAACGCACGACCAGTCGGATCTGGCTATTCGTGGGACGATATGGCCTATTTCGGCTAAATCCACCACGGATCTAGTCGGAAAATGTTATATCTATAGTCAGATCTGGCCGTCAGTGACTGCCAAAGATATGGTCGAAAGTCATATCTTGGCCATCGTTGACGACCAGCTCGGCCAAAGATCTGGTCGAAAAATGATATCGATACACTGCCGACCAGATCCAGCAAGTAGTGTGTCATTATACCAGATTCCGGCCACCTTCCGGCAGTGGTGGCCGAAATTTGACAAATATGGGTGAGTGGGAGTGTTTTTGTTAATTTTTAAACTTTTTTTCTAAGGGTGTTTAGTTAAATTAATAAACTTAAGAGATTTAAAATAGTTGAAAAAAATATAATAGTATTTTGAGGATAATGAAACAAATAGTTTTTTTGAAGATGGGATTGGGAATAGGATATGAAAGATGGAAACAAAAGAACTCTAGAATACCTCAACAGAATTTTGTTATTTAATCAAACCTTTAGTTTAATCCTATTTTTAACGAATAAGAAAATTTGTCGTAGCGTTCCCAATATTTCAAAACAATAAAAATAGATCTTATTTAAGTGACAAAAATCGTCGTATAAAACTTTATGAATGACTTTGCCATCCTTATCGAAATATATTGAGGAAAACAATAACAATAATGCGTCATTTTATCTAGTATAGTTTAGCATGTATTATAATGACTTAGTTAAACGTTAGACCATTAATCTTTGTATGGTCTAACATAATTTAAAGTTATAGTCAAGGATCGAGAGATATATTTCAAACTCTCTTTATTTTATGTTTAATGACGATACAAATTACCCATCCATCCTTATATATGTATGATCTAATTTTGAAGAAAGTGTTATAAAAAAATATTGTTATAATATAATCAATTATTATATTAGTAACCGCAAATAATAAATCTTTTTAATAATTAACTGTCAATAAAATAAAAAGATAATACAACAAAATTAACAATATCAACAACTTGATCGCGTGTAGGAAATCCTTCAAAATGATAGGATGAGATCTGGAGAATATAACCTTAGGAAGAATGTCGATGCCTGTGTAACACACAGTTTCCTTAAAACAGATCCGCCTCCTTCATTTGAGTGCACAAGGATTTGAGCAATGTCTGTTTCCCAAGATACAATGACAGATGAATAGCAAGAGAAGTATCACTCTTCTATTTTAACAAACTGAATAAAGTTTTAACTCCAACAAAAGAAAACCTTAAAAAGTAGAAAAAAAATCAAAGATTGAAAGAGCTATCAAATTTTTTGGTGTGTTTGAAATGAGAGGAAGAACATATTTTTGCACTACTCAAGGTGGGACAAAACATTGAATTCCACCATTATTTTCCACATTTTCACTTTCTAATTCTTAAAACTTCCTCCGTTAATCCACTAACCTTTCACCTTTCAAATTCTCAACTTACGCCACTACTTTCATCCCATTTATTTCATTCAATTTAATAAAATATTCCAACAATCCCCCACATGAATGAAATTTGACAGATCTAGACACAAGACGCGGTGATGGAGTTTAAACGGTTGGACTTGCATAGGATAGATAGGTGTTACCCTTTGAACCTTCCCTTGTGAAAGTATGTTTACTTTACTGACTGATTAGTAGACATGATGTCCTTGAACTAATTTGTCATTTATGTAAATGATGACATAGTTCACACAAAAATCCTCCTTGACATTATTCAATTCTCATTATTATGTTCGTTTTGGCCATGAACATACCCCTAGTTCTGCGAGAAGTTCTTAAGAATTGAGCCCTATACAATCCACTTTAGAAGCAGCCATACTTCTTTCTCACATAGGTGATTTCTTTAAGAGTAACCCGCATTACTCTGCTCAGAAACCCGACGCATAAGAATCATTAAAAGCTTTTGCTTAACCTTATTCCTTACAGGCATCACTGTTTCATTTAATCATAGGAACGGACTGAGAGTACCTCTCACAATGATCTATCTAAGTTTTTATAATTAAGTTGTCTCTTTGAACCTAAATCTTGGGATCTCCAGTCAATTAGGTTGGGTTTCCATTATATCGACTTATTTTATAGGCTTTAGTCACATTCCTCTTGATGATTTTTCAACTACCTCTCTATTTAACCCTTTGGTTAGCGGATCCGCTAAATTATTTTTTGATTTCACATAATCAATAGAGATAATTCATGTTGAGAGTAGTTCTCTAATGGTATTATGTCGACGATGTACATGTCTAGACTTACCATTATACATATTGCTATGTGCCCTTCCAATTGCAGATTGATTGTCACAATGAATGCAGATTGCTAGCACAGGCTTTGGCCACTTTGGAATATCCTCTAAGAATTGGCCTAACCATTCAGCGTCTTCACCACACTTATCCAGAGTAATAAATTCAGATTCCATAGTGGATCTGGCTATAACAGTTTGTTTAGAGGATTTCCATGATACAGTTGCACCTCCTAGTGTGAACACATATCCACTAGTAGATTTTGAATCTTTTATATCAGATACCCAGTTTGCATCACTGTATTATTCGAGCACATTTGGATATCTGGTATAGTGCAGCCCATAACTACGAGTATACCGTAAATACCTAAGTATTTTTATTATTGCTTTCCAATGATCAGCTCTAAGATTACTCATGTATCTACTCAGTTTACTAACTGTGTAAGCTATGTCTGGTCTAGTACAACTCATTAAGTACATCAGACTTCCTATAATTCTTTAATACTCTACTTGATAAATATTCTCTCCTTTATTCTTCAATAGATGTTGGCTAGTATTAAAGGTGTTCTAGCCAAGCTAGAATCATCTTTGTTAAATTTTCCAAGAATTTTATCCATATAACGTGATTGACTTAAAATAAGCCCTTCCGAAGTTTTTGAAATTTTAATTCCCAATATTACATCAGCCAAACCCATATCTTTCATGTCAAATCTTGAATTCAACATATCTTTGAGCATGTCATCAACGTAAAGACATAAAATGACATAACTATCATTCGTTTCTTTAACATAGACGCATTTGTCACATTCATTGATTTTGAAGCCACTAGCCATCATAGCACTATCAAATTTTACATGTCATTGTTTTGGTGCTTGCTTTAATCCATATAAAGACTTGACCAGTTTACAAACTTTATTTTCTTGCCCTGGTGCAGAAAAACCCTCGAGTTATTCCATATAGATTTCTTCTTCCAAATCTTCATTAAGAAAATCTGTTTTTACATCCATTTGATGTACTTCTAGATTTCGCAAAGATGCAATCGCGAGTATCATCATAATGGAATTTATTCTCGTCATAGGAGAATATGTATCAACGTAATCTAGGCCTTCTTGTTGCTTGTATCCCTTAATTACAAGTCAGTCTAGCCTCGTACTTGTCAATTGAACCATCTACTTTCTTTTTCTTCTTGAAAATCCATTTGGATCCTAGAGCTTTACATCCCAGCGGAAGATCCACTAGTTTCCATGTATGATTTTGCAGGATGGAGTCAAGTTCATTCTCAATAGCCTCTTTCCACAAAGTCCTTCTGAAGATCTCACAGCTTCTTCAAATGTTTGAGGTTCATCTTCTAAAGTTAGAAAATCTGGACCAAATGATTTTATTGTCCTTGCTCTTTTGCTACATCTAGGTCCATTTTCAACTTCTTGACTGTTTTCAACCATAGTCTCATATGTTTGTTTAGAGAACTTGATCCTTCTTTGGATCTACATGGAAATACATGTTCTAAGAAAGATGCATTTCTAGATTCTATTATCGTGTTCTCGTGTATGTTTGGGATTTTGGACTTATGCACAAGAAATCGATAAACACTACTATTATGTGCATAGCCAATGAAGATGCAATCAACTATTTTTAGACCTATTTTCACCTTCTTTGGTGTCTGTACTGCTACTTTGGCAAGACACCCCCACACTCGCAAGTATTTATAGGAAGGTTTCCTTCATTTCCATAATTCATAAGGGGTTTTGTCTTCCTTTTTTCGGGGTATCTTATTTAAAAGATAATTAGCTGACAACACAGCTTCCCCCCACGTGTTTTGAGACAAACCAAAACTTATTAGCATTGGATTCATCATTTCTTTCAAAGTACGATTCTTTCGCTCAATAATTCCATTTGACTGAGGTGAATAAGGTGTTGTGGTTTCGTATATAATTTCGTGTTGTGCACAGAAATCACGGAACGGTGATTCATACTCACTACCTCGGTCACTTCATAACACCTTTATCTTTTTATTGAGTTGATTCTCAACTTCATTCTTATAAAGAATAAACTTATCAATAGCTTCGTCCTTGTTTTTTAGCAAATACACATAACAATATCTTGTGCTATCATCAACAAAAGTAACAAAATACTTATTGCCACCCCTTGTTTGTACAAACTTTAGGTCACA